GAATTGATCAAATTGATGGATCCATCGGATTTGACAATTAAAAATAAGTACGAGAATACTGCACTCTGCTTTGCTGTTGCTTCTGGTATTACAAAAATTGCTGAGTTAATGGTCGCAAAAAACGGTTATTTGCCAATGATAAGAGGTAGCAAGGGAGTTACACCCCTACACATGGCTGCTTTATTAGGATATAGAGACATGGTCTGGTATCTTTCTTCAGTAACGGATAGCCAATCTCTTACTGAAGAGGATTATGTTGGGCTACTAATTGCAACTATTAGCTCTGATTTATATGGTGCGATAGTATTCCGTTGATAACAAATGCATAAAACTAAATAAAACAACATAGATGAGGCTAACTGTTCACTATTTGCAGATGTTGCTCTGCTTGAACACAAACCAGAACTAGCCATTAAACGGGATCCCAATGGCGAGACAGCACTTCATGTTCTAGCACGAAAGCCTTCAGCATTTTCAGGCAAAAGCGAACTAGGATTCTGGCAGAGATGTGTATACCGCTGTAAGATTTTACATTTCTATTTAAATTGTTACCAGTGTTAATTTTCTGAAAGACAACTAGTTATAGTTGTTTGATGCTCACATCCCTGACAGATCAATCGGATCACAACCTTCTCCTCAGCTCATGTGTATACGGTTTCCCATTTAAAATTGCTATACACTCACAGACTTTGTAACAACATCAGTCATGTTGACGTGCCTTGGAGCAAAACCATCTCCACATTAGAAGGCCAATGGAAAATATTAAGAATCTTATGTAGTCAAACAGTTGTTAAATCCAAATTCAACTGTCTTAATATCTTCTATAATCCGAATCAGCATTCAAGAATGGCAGTCATAGGTAAATCATCTGGCAAAGCAATGGAAAACTGAGAAGGCACTCGCATTTATGTGTTTATATTGAATCAAGTATTCTATAAATCTACAGTCAATAAACCTTAGTTTTATTTCAGGTGTGAGTGCAAAACTGTGGAACAGGTCTGGTCGTACTAGCACCTTCAGACTTCTCAATCGTGTTATGAACCTAACAGGTATGGAATGCATTACAAGTCCCATTATAAACATCTTCCAATTTTAGTGATTGACTTTTGTTCACTTAAAACTCTAGGAATCCAGGGAGTTATTGAGAAAAAGTTTAAGCAATCCCAAGCCCTGGAGTTGGTAGAGTGCTTGTGGAAACAGGTTCTCTTCTTATTGGATGACTCAGAAATTGGGAAGTTACTCAGGAGCCCTTCACGACCATTATTCATAGCTGCAGAATTTGGAAACTTTCAGTTCATTAGGGAGCTTATTCTCCAATATCCTGATCTCATTTGGAAAGTTGATGAGGAAAGTCGAAGCCTTTTTCATATTGCGGTTATTCATCGCCAAGAACAAATCTTCAAACTTCTTTATGACATAGGAGCGCACAAAGATTTGATCACATCCTATAAGAGCACCAACAATTGTAACATGTTACACTTGGCTGCAAACTTGGCTCCTTCAAATAGACTTAAAATTGTCTCTGGTGCAGCACTTCAAATGCAACGGGAGTTGCTGTGGTTTAAGGTGACTATCAGATTGTGTTCAAACTTTATTCTTGCTTGTTTGAATTAATTAAAATTGCTTTCCATGTGTTTTAACTATTCTTCTTATTAACATTTAAGGAAGTTGAGAAGAATATGCAGCCATTATACAAGGAAATGAAAGACTCAGAAGGTAGAACACCCCAAATGCTATTTACTCAGGAACACAAGGGATTAGTCAAGAATGGGGAGAAATGGATGAAGGATACAACTTCATCCTGCATGCTTGTTGCAACACTTATTACTACAGTAATGTTTGCTGCAATTTTTACAGTACCAGGAGGCAACAACAATAGTACAGGAACCCCTATGTTCCTTGAGGACAAGTCATTTATAATTTTCTGCATAGCAGATGCACTTGCTCTGTTCTCCTCTGTGACATCTATATTGATGTTCTTATCTATCCTCACCTCGCGTTATGCTGAAGAAGATTTCCTTGAGTCCTTGCCGAAGAGGCTGATTATTGGCCTAACAACTCTTTTCTTTTCTATGGCATCAATGCTAATGGCTTTTAGTGCTAGCATTTTCATCGTGGTTGGACATCAACTGGCTTGGATTATTATCCCGATTGCTCTCACTGCTTGTGTTCCAGTTACGCTATTTGCATTCTTACAGTTTCCTTTGTTGGCTGATGTTATGCATTCTACTTATGGATCAGGAATATTTTCCATTGAAAGGAAGGAGACACTTTATTAGGCTGTTTATAAGCTGATTACCCTATTTATTAGGCCATTTAGCCAAGGACACCTTTTTGTAATTGCACTTTTGACTTGTGCAAATTAGCTTACCTCTTGTGATTATTGTTTCAGCTTTCTGTAGTTTTGATGGGTTATGTGAAGGGGCTTTTATGTTGTTGTTGTTATTATTATTATTTATTTATATTATTTTTTGGTGAAGAATTATGGGTACTTGAATTCGTCTAAAATGATTGAAGAAATTACCAATGAATGACATGGCAGAGAATTTTCCAGCAATTTCTTTGTAAATTAGTTGGAACAGCTTTAAGCATTTGATTATAGAGGCTCGTTTTACAAAAAGAAATTAAACCTTGTTGGAGAATTTTCAAATAACATCGGTTTTGGACATTGTTAGATGCATTTGTGAGCTTCCAAGAGTCAAGAAAAAATTCGGTGAAGGTTTGACAGTGGGGAGGACTAGGTTGGATCACCGAGGCCTTGGCACCCGTTCCTCCATTTTTTTGATGTATTTTCAACTCAATTTTCTTATTCAACTTATAATACATAAAGTTGTGACTCTTGTGAAGGATTATAACTCTTGTCAAGAGTTGTTTAACAACCTATAAATAAGATTTTTAGTTACATATTCGAGACACATGCAATATATGATAGAGTTTTGCTTCATCTTCTAGCTTAAAACTATATTTTTCGTGCATTGTTGAACTCTTCTTTTTCGAAGTTTGTCCATGTTTTGTCATCCAAAAATACAGTACACGACTCT